GCACTAGGAAACGTGCAGAGGCGGGCTAAAAAATTAATAGAAGGAATGAAACATTTTAGTTATGAAGAAAAGTTAACAAATTTATCTCATTAGTTTTGAAAAAGGGTACTTCAGAGGGGTTATGATAGTATTATACAAATGTTAGGGGCCAATGTAAACCAGTGTCTGGAAATCTATTCATAAACAGGACTATACATAGGACACACGGTCATGCATTTAGACTGGAAGAAAGGAGATTTAGTCTAAGGCAAAGGACGTTTTTTAAATTTATTTTTAAAAGAACAGTACGAATGTGGAATTCTCTGCCTAGAGAGGAGATTTATCAGAGTCTGTACAGATATTTAAAGAGCAACTGGATGAATAATTGCAAAAACATAATATTCTGGGATACAATTTTTAATATATGGGTTAACGGTTTCTTGATATATGTGATATCTGACTGCCATTCCGAGGGCAATAAGGAATTTTTTTCAACCTTGTTGCAAAATTGGAAGTGCTTCAAACTCTTTTTTATGCTTTTTTTGGATGAACAGCAAAAACAGATGTGAGAAAGGTTGTACTTTATAGACGCATGTATGTAACTATGTAACCATCACTGGGCTCTATACCAGGGGCTTCACACATATTTTCTGTGTAGGGCAAAACTTTACATTATTGTGCAAATAAAGCAGTGTCTTACACACACGGCACACAACTGCGCCTGCAGTTCCTTATTGCCAGCTTCTGGTGCTTCATTCCTACCTCCTCTTTCTTGTTACCCAGAATGACTTCCTGTGCACTGGGGGGGAAGTGAAGTTTAATCACTTCCTCCCAACAAAGTGATCTCACATGGCATTAGTATGTGGAACAAATCCCAGGGCCATTTTTGTTTTCAGGACATTTTTCAGAACTGAGAAAATGCACAAAGTGATAAAATTAAGTACAGAAAAATACAATGGAAATATGTCCGTAAGACAGTACATACAATTCCAGGACAAGTGGCCTCCATAAAAGTACAACAAACCCACACCTAAGAATATATTAGTAGAGATTGAATTTTGCACATAAAAAAATAAATAAAAAACAGGTCTACTAAAAAGGCCAGAGACCTAAACGATCGTGAGAAAAGGTTCCACAACAGAAGGGCCGAACCCAAATAGTAGTAACATAAAACATCATAAGAGATAAAGTCCTCCACAATGGGAATACTAGAATTTCATATACAATTGAACATATGTGAACCTCCACCATTACTAAAAGAAAGAAAATGACAAGAGATAAAGCAAAGCTAATGAGAGACATTGAATTCAGAATTCTATTGTCATAGTAGTTATATACTCCTTTTTTGTGACATATAGGAAACCTATTATTGGACCATACAACCTCTGTTTTCTTTCCATCCTGTGTGTTTGAAATGTCATATATGTCTTTGTCACCCCGAACTTGCCCTTCTTCAGTTGATTACCATATGTCTTTCTTTACTTCCTTTCTGTTATTTTTTTATTTTTTTTTAAAAAGAATTTATAAAGTGTGACCACAAAAGAGTACAACTTAAACTCCACAAACTTCTAACATGTAGTAACACAGCCACTCATGTATCTAGATTAGTGATGTCCCGAACTGTTTGCCGAAGGGTTCGCGAATGTTTCGCCACGAACGGTTCGCCACGGACTCATCATTGAGTAAACTTTGACCCTGTCCCTCACAGTCAGCAGACATATTCCAGCCAATCAGCAGCAGACCGTCCCTCCCAGGCCCTCCCAGCTCCTGGACAGCTCACTAAGAATGCCGCTTCACAATGAATTTAAAATGGATGCTGTCCAGGAGGTGGGAGGGTCTGGGAGGGAGGGTGTGCTGCTGATCGGCTGGAATGTGTCTGCTGACTGTGAGGTTTACTCAATGATGAGTCCGTGGCGAACCATTCGTGGCGAACCGTTAGGCCAACAGTTCAGGACATCACTAATCTAGATACATCTCTGTATGATGAGATAAGTTTAACATTTAAATTGAAATAAATTATCTTCCTAAATAAGCCTTAATATATCAGCAGTGTATAGATTTGGTTTATTAGGTTATTTTATACAAATATATATTTCATATCAGTTGAAATATAAATGGAAAGTATAAAAAGTACCCCATGAATAGTTTAGTACAAAGTTTATGTGGATGGTGGAGATGTTGCAAGTTCAGTTCATTGGTCAATATGAGCATTATTTCGGTACGCAGGGCACATGTGTTTTCTCAGTACACAATGAATTTGTGGTGAATTGAAAGGTGAATTTACAAAATGTAAACCACATTTGCACAGTTGGAATCATAGCATTATTGAGCTGGTGAGTTTTCCATTTTGACTGAAATGTTGCAAACATGTCTTTGGTTTAATCACAAACCCACTGTTTAGTAAATTAATCATATAGTTTATAGTGCACGGTTGATTCCCATAAATACAATAAAGCTGTTGCACTGGAATCTGAATCTACAATATTTCCAAATGAATTTAAAGCTCTCTGAAGACTCCTGCCAGCATTTCTTCAAAAATCCTTATGCATTGGGACAATGTTTCCTTGTAATACATTTTAGTCAACTTATGATATATGTGTAACAATATCTAATGCTCCTTAAAGTGATACTATAGACTTTAGCTTAATATAGCAGGCTTGGTTTACAGATCATGCCCCTGCAATGCTCAATGTTCAGCCATTTAGGAGTTAAATCACCTTGTTAATGCAGTCCTTGTCACATCTCCTGGAATGTTACTTACAGACCCTTCCTAAACACGTCCTGTAAAGAGAGATCTAATGTTTAAACTTTCTATATTGCACATTCTATTTAATCTAGAATTTCTTATCTCCTGTTTTGTTAATGGTCTTATAGACCCTGTAGGAGGCTCCTGTGTGTGGTTAAAGTTCAATTTACAAAGATGAAAAAACATCTAAGGTAAGTTAAAATCTTCTTTGAAAATGATACCATTTTCTTTCATGGAGACTGTGTGAGTCAAATGTTATTTAACTCCTAAATGCCAGAGAAGACTGCAGGAGCATGAACTAAACAAAGAAACTTAATTAAGCTAAAGTTTATTTGATATAGTATCCTTTTAGCATATCTTGAAACTCTTTACCCAAATTCAGTTCATTTGTAACTTTCCTAAGTTCTATTACTCTTTATTAAATGAGCATTGTTAGATGAGCAACATTTAAGGTTATCCCCAATACTAGCTGGAGAGTACAACCTTTCAAAGATTTTGTCTTCCTTGCCCTGATGACCTTTGGAAATTGATTTCAATATGTTGTCTCACCTTTAGCACCCAGCCTTTTGTAGTTGAACTCTAGTACAGTTCGATTAACAAACTGACCTTTGAAGTGGACCTTGAGACAGATACTTTAGGATGACATTCTTGACTTTGATGTCCATCATTAAGCACTCATTGATTTGGAAACAGCAGTGGGCTATATGGTTACTAACTCATGATCAAGAAAGACCTTGTCATCAGTGAAAACGTTAATCTTAGTTTATTTGAAAGCATTTTAAAGGTTAATACAGCTGTACTAGTATCCTTGTGTAATCTCTTTTGGTATTTCAAAAACTATTACAGAATATTAATATAGCATGAATATCACAACCAGGTTTCATAGCAACTAACTCACAAAAAATGACATTTTAAATATGTCTACTGCTGCAATGTGGCTTTCAACATTTTGTTCTTCTCTACGTCCTCAGGAATTTTATGATTAGTTAAAAAGGAAATTCTTGTAAGCATTATTACATTTTTCTAAACACTAACTGGAGCACACATTCATGTTCTTAACTTTTTAACACCATACATAGCTTCCTTTTAATTTTGATATGCATTTATCTATTAAAATGTAAAACTATCACCGGAATAAAAAATAGCGGCTATGACTTAAACATACCCTATAACAAGCAAAACAAAATATGCCAATCCTGTCCTTAAAGTTCAAACAGTGTGCTTAATTCATCAGCTGGAATTTTGCAGATGGATTTTAAAAAAATATCTTGTTTTGGCAAAGTTTCTAATTTTTTCAATAAAACATTTACAATATAGGATGTTTAGTTTACACTTTTAAACAATGTCTAGCTTTGTTTCCATGATGCCATAAAAGGTTCTCCAAGACAACATCTAAGAAAGCTTTTTTTAGTTTATTGTAATGACTGTTATATAATAGACTGGACTCCGAGCACACAATGGAAAAGAAATAGAATATTGGTACAGACAGTCATGTGGAAGCAAAAGTTCACCTTATTGCACATAACCAACAATAAAATTAATCCATCTATCCAAATTGTTGTTTAAATGCCATGTCCTCACATCCAATGGTCAGTCCAATTACGTGCCTGATTTGGCCAAGCTTTCATACACATTGAAAATGTTTTTCATGTCTTGTTCTGCGTGTTCCCATATGTTTTGTGCCTGTACGTTTGTGCATTCCAATTGCTGTCAAATGGCTTGAATTTTTTCCTGTATCATTAAGTTACTAAATATTAATTGGCAAAAGATCTCAGACTGTTTCAATTTATGTACCTTTTAACAGTGGAGGAACTACAGGGGTCGCTGAGGTTGCAAGTTACAATATTTTTGTCGTTGTAAAAATGTGTGTGTTTAATACAGACTCATTGCCGATAATCTGACAGACATTTAAAAAAAATGACTGTAAGCTATAGGGTTTTTCTGTTTAGAAGGATGAAAACGGTATGCACATTAAAGGCTGTTGGTATCGGCTGATATAGAATACAGTCCTGAACATTGTCATGGTTGATGATAGATACATTTAGGCAGGGCCATCTATAATATTAATAGGACCCTGGGCAATGCATTTTATTGGCCCCTCCCCTCAACCCCCACCCCCCAGTTACGCCCAACCCGCAATCACACTGACAGACATACTGACACATACACACACACACACAGACAAACATATTAAAACATTTGCAGATACATATGACACATATGTGTCTATGTGTGTGTCAGTATATTTGTCAGTGTTTATGTCTGTTTGTGTATGTATGTGTGTGTCAATATGTCTGCCAGTATATATTTGTGTGTCGGTATATGTGTCAGTGTATACACTGACACTTAAATATATACTGGCAGACATACTGACACTCACACAGACAGACATACTGACAGACAAATAGGTACTAATCTGAGGCGCCTTTCCTTTAAGTGTTATATATTCAGGGTATTATGCCTTTAATTTTCATATATCCAAGGTGTTATACCTTTGATTTTTAATTATAATATGTGCTGCTATCAGCTCACTGTTCTTGGGGTAGTTACAGTTTTTGTGCAGGTCCACCGTCCGCCGATGTTGCTGCTTCTTTCTCCTCTCCCCTGAACGATGGGTAGGTAAAAATTGGCAGTGACACTGGATAAATAAAGTGACATTTACTGTTTGAGCTATACATTTTTTATATTTTTATATTTTATTTATTTTTAAAACAGAAATAAAGCTGAGTAATCCTTGAAAGATCTCCGGAGTAATCAATCTCTATATTGTGAGTTATATACAAAGTGGATACAAGTCATTATAACAAAAGTGTAACAGAATAAGATAACAGCTTAACCCTTGGAGTGCTGGAAAAAGAAAAAGTGGTTATCTTTTGAGATTTGGACTGCTCATTTCTGGGATTCATTTCTGGGACTCTCTGTGCTGGAAGTTGTTTATATTTAATTGAAAAGTATTTTTGTGTGAGCACACATTCTGTATAAATTACATCTTTAAGGTTAATAGGTTATTATTATAATTTCTTATTTTTCTGTACTTTCCAATTGGAGAGCTTTCAAAAAAGATTGTGCGCTAACTCATTGTCAAATATACTGATGGACACACACACAGACATACTGACACACACACAAACACACATACTGACACACAGACAGACATACTGACATACATTTAGCCACCCTCCAAGTTCTTACCTTTTTCTTGAGGGTGGTTTCCCTGGAGTCCAGTGACAGGTTGAGGTAGTTGGGAGTTCTACTCTGGAACTCCCCTCCTCCCTGCCTCCCTCCTCCCGCACTGCTCTGATCTCCAGTCGGAGGAAGTGACGCGCGGCACTAACTTCCTCCCAGCCGGCTGCCGAACAGGAAGGGGCCCAGCGTCACAGCGACCGACCGGGCCCCTGCTGACATATGCCTACTGGGTGGCCCTTAGTGCATGGGCAACCCGGGGGGGGGCCTCCTTAGGATCCATGGGGGCTGCGTAAATGACGATGCCCACGGGGCAGCTGCTCTGGGGCCCCCAGGAGCAAATGGGCCCGTGGCAGCTGCCCCGTTTGCCCCACGTTAAAGACGGCCCTGCATTTAGGAAATTCACTGTAATTCTGCCAGCTGTATGAATAAGCTGTTAAGGTGGCAAATATTGAAGAAGTTTGCAAACAGTTCATCCTCAGTGCCTTTCCAAGTCATGAATCAGTCATCTACATGCCTTAGCCAGGCTCTGATTTATTGGGAGTGCCAAGTATAGGATATAGGTAAGTCTCTTTGAAGTTTGCCATGAAGAGAATGGCATAGTAAGGCACCATGTGTGCACCCGTGGCATTCTCTTTAATCTGTCAATAATACATAGTCTGATAATGGAAAAAGTTCTTCCTCAAAATTATTTCAAGATGTTTCACTACAAATTTACAGCCCTGTTCGTTGGGCAAAACTTTGGCTCCGTAAAGTAAGCTTTTTTGCAACTTAGGGCAGCAACACACCACTCGCTCAATGATGTTCCTCCAAGAGAAATATAAAACTCTTATAAAAAAATATAAAACTACTGTTCTCCATCTATACTGCCTCCCTTGGTAAACTCCTTAGCTCCTTTGGCTTCCAATATAATTTCTATGCAGATGACACGCAAATCCTGTTCTCTCCTGATCTCTCCCCGTCCCTCTTGACTAGTGTTTCTGACTGCCTCTCTGCTTTTTCTAACGGGATGGCTGCCCACTTCTGTAACTAAACTTGACCAAAACTTAAATTCTGGTCTTTCCTCCCTCAAGTGTTGTTACTCCTGTGTCTGTCTCCCTCCAAGTCAATGGTGCTACCATCAGCTCCACCACGTAGGCACGCTGCGTAGGTGTTCTCTTTGACTCCGACCTCTCCTTCAAGCCTCATCTTCAATCTATCACCAAATCCTGTCATTTCCATCTCAAAAACATTGAGCGCATCCGCCCCTACTTAACGCCAGATGCGACTAAGATGTTGGTCCATTCCACTATCCTTTCTCGCCTTACTACTGTAATCTGCTTCTCAGTGGTCTTACGTGCTCCCAACTTGCACCGTTACAGTCCATAATGAATGCGGCAGCGAGGCTCATCTTCCTGTCTGCCCGCACCTCCCATGCCTCACCCTTCTGTCAGTCCCTACATTTGCTTCCTATAAATTATAGAGCTCAATTTGAAATTCTGGTTCTTGCTTTCAAATCTCTACATAATGCTGCTCCCACCTATCTATCCTCCCTTATACACAAGTATGTCCCGTCTAGGTCCTTACGATCTGCTGAAGACTTACATCTATCTTCTGTCCATACTCCCACCTCTGATGCTCGCCTTCAAGATTTCTCGAGGGCTGCACCATTCCTGTGGAACTCGCTTCCCTCCTCTGTTAGATGCTCACCCAGTCTCCACTCCTTCAAAAAATCGTTAAAAACCCACTTCTTCATAAAAGCGTATCAATTAAACTGTTAATAGCTCCTGACTGATTCCTCTTCTGCAACTGTCACTAGTCTTATACTATCCTTACCTTTTTGTGTCTTTTTACCCCACTCCCTCTAACATGTAAGCTCATTGAGCAGGGTCCTCAACCCCTCTGTTCCTGTGTGTCCAACTTGTCTGGTTACAACTACATGTCTGTTTGTACACCCATTGTAAAGCGCTGCGGAATTTGATGGCGCTATATAAATATCATAATAATAATAATAATAAAAAAAGAAAAGTGACAAAATGAGTGGTACAGTACAAGATATGGATAGTACACCTTATGGTAAGTATTACGCTCAACTTTTAAAGAGCCTTCAGTTCCTGGCTCGAAGCATAATCAGCAGGGTGCCACTTTCTGGGAATGGCGCTTCCCCGATAAAGATTGCTTCAAGGACTTGGTTTGGAATAACTTACACTATAAGTGTTTTTATTTACAATAAATTTAAAGTATATAAAATAAAAAATCCAGTTAAAATTCCTGTACTTTATTGTTGCCTTACTTTTAATAAAATGCATCTATGTCATTATTTAAAACACAGATTCATATCATTTCAATTAATTTTTTCATTGTTAGGTAGAGAACTAGGTGCCTAAAATGTTCTTAAATTTATAGTCTTTCTAAAAATGATGGATAGATTTTTGGGAGAAGATTTTCCATTTTTTAAAGAGAAAAGACCAGTATGTTTTAATGTTTTTATTTCATGACGGTGTACATTAAATTAGGAAAAAAAACACAGTGTATCTGATTATTTCCCACTTTTTCCTATTAGATATTGTACTGTTTTTCCCACAGTCTTTTCTACTTGCTGTATTATTATTATTTTTTTAAAATATATTTTTATTGAGTTTTTTTCATTTGATTTGCTTTACTAGGGATGTGCATGGGCAAAACATTTGGTTCGGTTCAGCACCTCCAAAATTCTGGACTTTGGCTATTCGGGAATTCGAGACTTTAGCACATCTCTAACCCTACCTCTAACACTAACCCTACCTCTGACCCTGCCCTAAACCCTGCCCCTACCCTACTAGGGATAGCGGTAGGCTTAGGGGTAGGGTTAGAGGAAGGTTGGAGTAAGGGTTAGCGTTAGGGGTCGGGTTAGATTCCTGTCATCATTCCCTGATTTTCCCTCCCTCTCCTGTTTTGACACTTTTCAGAAATCCAAAGCACTTCTGAAATTTGTCACTTCAGCACTTCGGAAGCATCCAAATGTCCGAATTGCTGAGATTTGTTCAAATTTACTTGTTACTTCTGGTGCGAATTAATTATCTTTTGAGTATTACCTCCAAACAGACTGTTACAGCAGCTTATTAATATATATTTTGCTGATTGCTTCAAGTATCTCAAATATATCTGTTGAGGTAGAATATCATGTCCATAAAATTTAATTATTTTCTATTATTTGTTGAAATACATTTAGTAGAATATAGACTATTGTTAATATGTTGAATAAACTCTTCCAAAGAATTCTGAGTTCTTTCACAGATGGCTAATTGTAATCTATAGAACACTGACGTATAATCAGTTTTGCCCTTCAGAGACGCTTAGACCAAAAAAAAATTAAATTCCCAGTCTCACATTAAAATATTGGCATAGCAGGGGGAAACCTGGCATAGATGAGCTCCAAGATGAGATATATAGAATTTATTATAAATTCTTAAAACTCAATTGAAATGTGTGGATTTTCAGGTAATACTTTCTTGTCTGCTTTCATTCTGTCTGCTTTTATTTACCGAAAAGAATAGTGACTTTAAAGATGTCCTGTATAGAATAATCCTACCATTCCATATGCCTTATGTCTTGTAAAATATTGGTTGTATTGATTGTGCATATTACTGCAAATGACAACGTAAACGTTATATGGAAATAAATTGTTAAAACTATTATTCATTTACCCTTCTCTAAAATATTTTCCAGATTTCTGATACATTTTCCATCTGCGGCTCCTGTATGGTGTATTGTTTGGTTTCCTAATGTATCGTAATCTACATAGTCATCAGAGCTACCATCCTACCATCTACCTTTTTGATGTTAATGTCATACCTTTCGTCATATTCAATACTTCTGAATTTTGCTCTTACATTACATATTTTTCCACCATTTTATTTTTCATTGTTCCAGTGGATCCAATTAATTCAATACACCCTTTTCTTTCTCGCTTTCTTTGACTCTCTCATCAGGGCAAGTACAAACTTGCTGAGTATTTTGAAAAATAGCCAGTATATATATCTGTATATTGTGATCCTTGTTTGCAGTTAGCACGGTCCTCAACATGGAAACAGGCCTTTGGTTTTCACATAATCCAGGCACTTTATTGGTAAATCCACACAGGAGGCAGCAAACTACTAAAGAAACTATAATGATTCCTTTTAAACAGAATCCTAGCTCATCTGAGCACTGACTGACTTTCAATTTCCCGCTCTATCAAGGGTTAAACTT